GCCTGACGTATTCTCTCCCCTGTGCATCCTCTCTGTAGGCTCACGAAGCTCTCACTGTGAACCAGTGGTGGGGCTTAGTTGCCGTGATGGTCGGTTGCTTCACAGAGGGAGTCATTGGTGAAGAGTATGATTCCTGCTATGATCCGCACTTGTTGACATCCGCTCTCATTGACATCATCCGCACTTGTTGACATCCGCTCTCATTGACACCATCCGCACTAATTGACATCCGCTCTCATTGACATCATCCGCACTAATTGACATCCGCTCTCATTGACATCATCCGCACTAATTGACATCCGCTCTCATTGACATCATCCGCACTAATTGACATCCGCTCTCATTGACATCATCCGCACTAATTGACATCCGCTCTCATTGACATCATCCGCACTAATTGGCATCCGCTCTCATTGACATCATCCGCACTAATTGACATCCGCTCTCATTGACATCATCCGCACTAATTGGCATCCGCTCTCATTGACATCATCCGCACTAATTGACATCCGCTCTCATTGACATCATCCGCACTAATTGACATCCGCTCTCATTGACATCATCCGCACTAATTGACATCCGCTCTCATTGACATCATCCGCACTTATTGACAGGCGGCCATGGAGCGGGGGCGTTTGGCGGGCCCACTGTCATCATGCCCTGCCACTGTCATCATGCCCGCCACTGTCATCATGCCCTGCACTGTCATCATGCCCACCACTGTCATCATGCCCGCCACTGTCATCATGCCCGCCACTGTCATCATGCCCGCCACTGTCGTCATGCCCGCCACTGTCGTCATGCCCGCCACTTGGTGCCCTGCCTTACCATCTGTCAACCATCCCCATGCACCCCCCATGCACATACCAAGCCCCATTTCAGCACCCAAGCGGCCATGGAGGGGGGCGCCTTTGGGGTGCCCACTCTTTTCGTCACCAATGCCTGTTTTTGTGCCTCGACATGTGCCAACCATGTGCCTCGCCATGTGCCTCGCCATGTGCCTCGCCATGTGCCAGCCATGTGCCTCGCCATGTGCCAGCCATGCCATGAATCACCCCGTGCATGCCCTCCCTCTCTTTCAACCCCCAGGCCAGCACACGTGCGGCCATAGAGCGGGGGGCCTTCGGCGTGCCCTCTCTCTTTGTCGCCCCCACTGCTCGCCCCGTCTGCCTCGCCACAGGCGCCACGCTCTTGCCCCTCTCCCCCATGCTCCCCATGCCCCCATACGCAACCCCCTCTTCCTGCCCCTCTCAGGCCAGCACACGGGCGGCCATAGAGAGAGGAGCCTTCGGCGTGCCCACTCTCTTTGTCGCCCCACTGCTCGGCCCATCCGCCTCGCCACAGGCGCCACCCTCTCCCCCTCCCACCGCCTCATGTTTTTCGGCTCCGATCGCTTCGAGCAGATGGCATGGCTGCTGGGGTTGCCGTGGCACGGGCCGTGTCCCCCACAAGCATCGCTATAGAGCAGCAGTGTTGTAAAGCTCCAGCGAGCCACAGGCGGCAGGCACCCTTTCGCCCTCCCACCACCTCACGCTCTTTGGCTCGTGTTGGTTCGAACAGACGGCATGGCTGCTGCAACTGCCCTGGCACGGTCCTTGCCCCTTCTAGCAATGCTGTGGAGTTAGGGCTCTGCTTGGGAAGCAGGAGAGCTGGAGGGGAGGGGGGGTTGGAGGAAGGAGTTAAGGCAGGCGGTTGGACCAAGGCAGGTGTTGAAAGGTGTCTCTCGCAGTGCAACAGCCGACCACCCTGTATGTAGACGCTGCGGTGTCTCAAGTATCGTGCAGAACAAGTCGTCGCAGTGCTCTCTGCAGGTTAGCAGCCGTGCTTGGTTTGGGTGTGTATGGTGATATGAACCACCTCGATTCGTGCTTTGTCTATTGTGCTTCCAAGCTGAGAGCATGCTGAGCCGAAAGCCACTGTAGGCAGTGAGGTGAAAGCTCAATGACACGAGTCATTGAGGTGAGGCGAAAAGCTGCCCTGAGCAGAGAACGTGCTTAGATTGATTTTGTTATGTACCAACCAATGCAGATCAAATCACGCCAGCCTTGTTCGTCCATGTCACAGCACTGTGTTTCAAGTTTCTAGAGCTTGCCAAAGCTTGGAGCTTCAAGCTGTGCCAAGCAAGCCTGAAAAGAACTGCCTTAAAAGCGACAGTGCGCTCCACCTCGGCACGTTTCGAGACGTCTCAAAACGAGAATACTAACACTTAGCTTGGACTTCTCAAGCAGCATCCACCTGCCGTGCTCCACCATGCACGCCACAGCCCATGTAGCTGAGATGAAAGTACTGCGGGAGAGGGAGTGCAACCCAGCTGCCGGCTGCTGCAACCAACCCAGGATCCTGGATTGGGCAGCGCAATGGGGGAGGGAGGGGAAGGGGGAAGGGGGAGCAATGGGCAAGGGGGAGAGAGGGGGAGAGGGGCAGAGCAATGGGGGAGGGGCGAGCGGGGCACAGAGTAATGGTGGAGGGAGGGGGGAAGGTGAGAAAGGGAGAAGCGCGTCAGAGGAATGAGGATGGGGGGGAGAGGGCAGAGCAGTGGTGAAGGGGGGGAAGGGGGAAGGGGGAAGGGGGAAGGGGGGGAAGGGGAAGTGGGGACAGCAGAGGGGAGAGGGAGGGAGGGGGGCAGAGGAGTGAACTGCAAGAGAAACAGGACGCCCCTCCTAAGATTGCCTCACTCAAGCTAATGCTCTCCCCTCAAGTACCGAGCAGGGCACAGTGTGCCTGCGCCCTCCCCTCACCTGCGCCCTCCCCTCACCTGCGCCCTCCCCTCACCTGCGCCCTCCCCCCACCTGCGCCCTCCCCCCACCTGTGCCATGTGTGGGCGGCGCGCAAGGAAGGGAATCGGACCCCAAACGTGGCCACAGTGGGCTCCTGCGTGCCCCATGCACACATTCTTCACCACCACTTCTCCCCACCTTCCTACTCCAACTACTGCTCTTCTCCTCCCCTCTTTCCTTCCCCACCCTCCCCACCCTCCCCCACCCTCCCCCACCCTCCCCCGCTATCCCGTGCCTCCACCCCCCACAGCTCGTGTCTTCTGTCCCCTCCCTGGGCAGCATGACATTCGAATCGACTCTAGAGTCCCCTCCCCAGGCCGGCAGGGTGGGTGGCTGTTTGAGGCGCCTCGCCCCCAAAGACACACCCGCCTTCTCCCCCCTTAAAGCGTCACCCGCACCTCATCCCCTCACACCTGCCTCTGCCCGCATTGCCCCCTCGTATAACTCAAACCCCCCCACCCCCGCCCAACTGCCCCTTCACCGGCCCCCATTATCTGCCCCTTCAGCTGCCCCACACCGCTCTCCGCCACCCCCCACACCAGATTCGCCCTCTCCTTTCTTGATAGCCCCCCTTTTCACCACAAGTGCATGCCTCGTTATAAGCCGCCTCACTACAGCATCATCTTCCCCCCATCCCTCTCCGCCAACCTCCATCTGCGCCGCTCTTAAACATCCCCCTAGACGACAGCTGGATGCCGACCAGCACTAGGATGCAGACAACGCATGCCGCCCCCACGATGGCGAGCGCGAGCGCGGCGGGGGTGCGCCCCCCGGGCGCGGCCGAGGATGGCGGCGAAGAGCGACCCGCGGGTGGCGGGGCTTGCGCCCATGAGGGGAGAGATGCGCGGCTGCTGGGGGCACGGCTGATGGGGAACGGGGCGCATAATTATGGGGTCTGCGCTTGGTCACGCGGTTGGTGCAGAGCGGTGCACGCGGATGTGAAGCGGTGATGTGGTTGACATGATGGGGCCCAAGGGGGGTTGGGTATCGGCGGGTGCGCTGTGCTTGGCTGCGGAAGTCTGCGCACCCCATCGCACCCGTCTAAGTCACACCCGGCGCACCCGTGTAGGGTATTAGGCACGCTAACGCCTGAGACAGGCGATGCGATGCGAACGTGTAGGTGCTAGGCGGGCAGGCAGGCTAGTCTTGAGGCGTTGGCAAGCTATCGACAGAGACGGCTGATGTAATGCGACGCGACGCAACGAACCCGAAGCCACGAGAACGCGCTTCAAGGAGAGCCGCTTTCAAGGATTGCGAAAGAATAACCTTTTCCTAACAGATTCGTGAAAGCGATGTGCCCTACTCTTGGAAGACGAGGATGGCGAGGCGTGCGACGTGTGCGGCGTGTCGGCGACGCGAAGTAGCTGACTTGGATGCGAGAAGTGGCGGTGAGCGAGTGAAGATGCGGGCTGGGCTGGGCTTCATGGATTGGCGGGTGGCGTTGGTCACCCTGGAGTACTGCTGCACGAGATCTGAGGGCGTGTCCAGCGCGTTCGTTTACTATTCAATTTGCATATCAGGTACGAAATTTCGACATGGTAACCCGAAATTTCGTGTCCATTCGGACACGCACGATTAATTGACGGTTTTGGCAGACACCCTCCAAACGTGCCCACAGACGTGGGCCGCACGTTTTCGAACCGAATGAAAATCGTGCCCAAATTATATACACGGCAGAAACGTCCAAATCCTGGCTGGCGAAAAAAGAAACGCTTACATTCGCCAGGCTTTCGTGACGCTTGCGAAGAACGGCGAAAAAGCGGAAGAAGAATTGGAATTTGTCCTGTGTTTGTGTGTTTTTTTCCTATGGCGAGGGGGAAATTGAGCCCTCCATTTTTCCCCCCCTGGGTGGAGTCGTGGCTCGTAATGCGTGTTCGCGAAAGCGGGCGGGGCCTCTTTCCCGGGGCGAAATCCGGTTACCCTAATTTTTTCTCGTGTCAGTCTGTTATGTGCGCGCTGCGCACCCACTCATTTGTCGAGACACGGGCGGGGCTCGTGTCTGCGCGTTTTGCTGCTGATACTGTAGGTGTACCTTAACACATTCACACTTGGCGAATCAATATTTCGGCGTGTTAAAAAAACGTCAAAAACTCGAGTTGGGGCGAAATGAACGCGCTGGACACGCCCTGAAACATGCACGCAACACAGGCGTGAGGCGAAACGCCGAGTTGCAATTGGCGTGTTATTTTCACTGCCCGTCCCTCCGGCTCTTTCTGAAGCTGCTCAGGGCAACTCCGAGTCGCAATCGGCTGCCTGCACGCACAGTGGGTGAGGCACGACGCAGCCGCTTAGGTGACTTCCGAGTCACGACCCGCTGAGTCACGACTGGCAGTCGTAATAGATAGACGCGTGCACAGCTGGTGAAGCACGACGCGCCGCAGTCGTAGAGCGTGACTGAGTTGTCTCAACTACGACTCGTAATAGATGCCACAGCGACTCGTAATAGATGCCACAGCGACTCGTAAGCATGTCTGACCTGTCGTCGCTAATCGCTCGTCCCTTGCAACCCTACGCATGACTGCCACGTGGCGATCGCTTTGTCGTGTGAATCCACGCAGACGTTCGGGTCGCGCGTGCGCGCCTTGGGTTGCGCGCCGTCCATCTTCGTCCTGACCGTCGACCCAAACCCTAAAAGCGATCATCCTTTATTAAGTCTGCTTTTCATTCGCCTCAAAAGGGACGCCTTCTGGTGCGCGCCGTCACTCTTACCGAGCCGTCCTCCCGGTGATCCCGGCGATATTTGCTTTTCCAGCCTGGAGTCGCCATCGTCCGCGTTAATGGCGTCCGCCGCTACCGCGTACAAGCACGACAAGGCCCTCCAAGCGGCGCACCAGCGCGAGCTCAAGGCGCTCCTCCGCGCGCCGGGCAACGAGACCTGCGCCGACTGCGGCGGCCGCTTCCCGCGCTTCGCGTCGGTGTCGCTGGGCGTGTTCCTGTGCAACCGTTGCTACGGCATTCACAGAGGCATCGGCGTGCACGTCACGCGCACCAAGTGCGTCGAGCTCGACGCGTTGGAGCGCGGGGGAGATCGCCGCAATGAGAGCCATGGGGAACAAACGAGCGGCTGCGATCTGGCAGGGTAAGTTATGAGGGCGCGCTTCAGGGGAGCACAGGGGCGCGCGCGTGGGCACGACATGCGTCGAGCTGGACGCATGGAGCGCGGGGGAGATTGCCGCCGATGACAGCCATTGGTAACGGACGAGCGGCTGAGATCTGGCAGGGTGAGCTACGAGGTCAAGGTGGCAAACGATGAGGTCAAGATGCTGCAGTATCTCGATTCTAGTGGCTCGCCACGGGCCACGGGCCACGGGCCACGAGATGAAAAGCTGCTGAGAGACTGCCGGCAACAGCAGCAGCACTCTCGGGTGCTCACCGCTCGCCCGCCACTCTATCCTTCTGCCTTGGCCTCGCGATCTTGGGGTCTCCATCCGTCAGTCAGTCGCAAATGCTGGCGAGGTGGGAAGGTGCACCAGAGCATGTATGAGCAGAGCCGCTACCCTGTCCAATGCCAACCCGCCCTCTGTATTCTCTCTTTACACCTGCCCTTCCGCCACCCCTCCCTCTCCCCAGGCAACGTCCCTTCCAGTGTGAGAGCACCCTCATCAGCCTCACCAGATGCAGAGGTGGAGCGGTGGATCCGAGACAATATGAACGCCACCTCTACCACAACCCCGCTGCTGCTGCTGCTGCTGCTGCTGCTGCTGCTGCTGCTGCTGCTGCTGCTGCTGCTGCTGCTGCTGCTGCTTCTGTCCCTACTCCTGCTTCTTGCCCCCGGTTGCTGCCTCCCCTCCCCCCGCCACCTGTTCCTCCTCCTGGCCCAATTCAACGCCCCTACCGCCGCCAGCAGGCGTTTGCCAGTGCAGCTGCTCAGCCCTAGTGCCGCACATCCCAGCAGCATCAACAGCAGCATCAACAGCAGCATCAACAGCAGCATCAACGGCCAGCAATCAACGGCAGCATCAACAGCAGCATCAAACAGCACAGCATCAACGGCAGCATCAACAGCAGCATCAACAGCAGCATCAACCGGCAGCATCAACGGCAGCATCAACGGCCCAGCATCAACGGCAGCATCAACGGCAGCATCAACGGCAGCATCAACGGCAGCATCAACGGCAGCATCAACGGCAGCATCAACGGCAGCCATCAACGCAGCATCAACAGCAGCATCAACGGCAGCATCAACGGCAGCATCAACGGCAGCACAGCAAGCAGGGTCCACACCCATCCCCCCACCACCACCGCCCATGAAACTTATCAACCCAGCCATGCAGCTGCTGCTGGCATCTCTCTAAGTCATACATGGAACGCTGGTGTTCTAGGCGCTGGAAGCAGCAGTAACAGCGATGTTATATCCAATTCGGTTTCCAGTGCAAGCAGCAGCAGCCACACTGAACTCCGACCGAAGTAAGCAACCAGCTGCTGCGCCTAAAGATCTGATTGATTTCTCACAGTGGTGACTTCTGGGCTTTATTACGAAGCAATGGTCAGTCTGTTTCTCACAAGACGAGAGTTGGGGGGAGTGATATACGCATGTGTTTTTGTAGGGCTAATACTGGCGAACGTGTTGTGCCAGGAAGGATAGTAGACCCGAAGGAAATTATTACCATTTTCTTTGTGCCTGCCATGTGTTGGAAATGATGAAAGCATTTCCGGAGTCTCGTGTGAGTGTACGAATACGCGAAGACTGCAACAACGGGATTATCAAGTCAACACTGCTACAGTACTACAAACAGTTGACGTGGTTGACGGTGTCAAACATATTGTATGTTTCTGTAGACTATATAGGGTTGTGCCTTAGGGAGTACAACCCATTAGGTTATATTCCCATGTATGCCTTGTTCTAGTCATTCTTCACTTGAACATGGTATCATGAGTAGGTAGGTCCCCCCCCCTCCCTAGCGCTTCTGCCCTAGGTCCTAGCCGCCTCGTCGCCCCGCGGCTCGTCACCTCGCGGCCCGCGCCCGCGCCCCGTCCCCTAGCGGCCCGCGGCCCGTCACCTAACGGCTCCGCGACCCCGTCCCCTAGCGGCCCCGCGGCCCCTCACCTCGCAGCCCCCGGCCCCGTCACCTCGCGGCCTCGCGGCCCCGTCACCTCGCGGCCCCGTTACCTAGCGGCCCGCGGCCCCATTCCCTAGCGGCCCGCGGCCCCGTCCCCTAGCGGCCCCGCGACCTCGGCACCTAGCGGCCCCGTTACCCCGTCCCCTCGCGGCCCCGCGGCCCCGTCCCCTAGGCCCCGCGCCCCGTCACCGCGGCCCTGTCACCTAGCGGCCCCGTCACCTCGCGGCCCTGCGGCCCCGTCACCTAGCGGCCTCGCGGCCCCGTCACCTAGCGGCTCCGCGGCCCCGTCACCTAGCTGGCCTCGTCGCCTAGCCGGCCCCTGTCTCCCTGCCGGCCCCGCCTCTTTGCCGGCCCCGTCGCCTTGCCGCCCGCGGCCCCGTCTTCTAGATGCCTCGCCGCTGTCCTCGGCTCCTCTGCACTGAGCTGCAGTGCCCGCCACTGCTCTGCACTGCACTGCACCGCACGGCACCGCACGGCACCGCACTGCACCGCCCTACACCGCACTGCATCGCACTGCACTGCACCCTACCGTACTTCACCTCCCTCCACCGCACAGTACCACTCTGCACCGCACATCACCGCTTTCCGCCGTGCTCTCCTGCCCAGTACAGTCTTTCTCCTGCTGCTGCAACCATGATGGCGGGCTCAGTCCTGCGCTTTGATGCTGAGGGGCAGCCGATTGAGTTTGACTCATGGCTCGTCGACCTCCAGCGACACCTGACTGTTCAGCGCAGGACGGCCACTCCCTGGCCGTCCACATCGATGGTACGCTCCCCTGTCCGGACCCCCTTGCTGCCCTCCCCGCCCCACCTCTGCTGACCGTGAGTCCGTTGCAGCTGCTGCCCTTGCCCGTGCTGTCTAGTTCTCGCGTGACGTTGTCGCACAGCTTGCGATTAGGCATGCCCTTCCTGACCTTGCGTCTTTCCCCACTGTCGCTGACCTAGCCGCCCACCTGCGCACGCTAACATGACCTGGCGCGCTGCCTGCACTGAGGCTCAGCTTCGGTGTTTCAGCCCCCATTTGCTCTACCCACTACCTGCTTGCCACCCGCCTCCTGACCGTCTTGCCACCGCCCACAATCACTTCCTTAGTCTCCACCCCGCTGACCTCACCCTCACTGACTTTGTCGACACCCTGTCTGCCATAGAGACCCGTCAGCGCTCTATCGCCCAGTCTAGCGGTACCGTGCCAGTCTCTATCTTTCAGGGCTGTGCCCCTACTCAGTGCTCTTACTCCGACGGCTCTACTGCGGTTGCTGAGACAGCTGCGGCTGTGGAGACAGCCGCCGCAGTGCAGTTTCATCCAGGTCAGGGTCGCCGCCCCAAGGCTGGGTGCGGCGGAGGTAGCGGAGGAGAGTGGTGCCGGTGGTGGAGGTGGCTCGCCCGCTGTTAGTACTAACCAGGGGGCTGGGGATGGTGCCCCGGAGCAGCCGCCCCAGCAGCAGCAGGAGGCTCCGCAGCTGGACCAGCAGCAGGAGCTCCGCAGTTGGACCAGCAGCAGCAGCAGCGAACAGCAGCAGCAGCGGAGGGTCGGCCATCTCCCCCCGGGTGGCCTGGAGCTGGAGGTGACGTGGTCGCAGTGGTCGCTCGCGCGGCGTGCCGTCAGGTGGTAGTCAGAGTGACGGGCGCTACGAGTACCAGCTCCAGACCGGTCCTCGCCGCAGCCTCGTGTGCGGTAAGATCGGTCATACCCCCGCTCGTTGCTAGACGACCTGTTTCGTCTCCGCTTCGGTCCGTCGCCTGACCTCCTCGACTGGCACAGTCTGCTCCATCGTTGTGTTCATGGATGAGATTAGCTCTGCTTTGTATGCGCTGCATGTTGATGACTCTTGTGTGACTGGTTCTATTACCCTGTGTTGCCTAACGTAGGTGTGCCCTGTGCCTAGTTCAGGCTCCCCTGCTGCATCAGGCGTAGGATCCCCTGCCTTGTTTAGCCTAGGGTCTCCCTCACTCCTCCGACCTCTGTCCGCTGCCGCGCTCTCCTTCACCCTGACTCCGCGCTTCCCGGTGTTTCTTTCGCGACTCCACGATGCTTACGCCACTTGCCGCTCCTGCTGCAGTTGCTCTTGCAGACCTTCCTCCGGTCCTGTAGTTGCCGTAGCTCCACTACTCTCCCCTATCCGCGGTTCCCTCAGGCTCCCTTACAGGCCTGCACATCCCCTCGTTCTCTAGGAACCTAGTTGGTGTCGGCTGCCTCCAGGACCTTGGCGTCACCACTACGTTCCCTGGGCACGAGCGGTACACTGTCTGTACTGAGGCCGCCACTGGTGCCCCCTCACCACGTTCCCCCGGGACCGGTGTCCCTGTTCACGCTGGACACCGCTTCCCCCCGGTTGGGACGCCTCCCCAGGTACCTGCGTCTTCCCAGGTTGCTGCGGCGGCGTGCTCGTGTCGTCGCTTACTCACCCGTCACTTCTGTGGCACCACCGTCTAGGTCACCCGCCCTCACCCGTCTCCGTCACATGTCCCAGCACCGTCTTGTCCTAGGCCTCCTTGAGTCGTTCCCTGCGCTCCCCTCCTCACCCGCGCCTCCGTGCACGCCCTGTGTCGAGGGCCGGCTCCGCCGTGCCCCTCACTCCTCCTCGTTCCCCCTACCTCCGCACCGCTGCAGACCCTGCACATGGACGTCTTGGGCCCCGCCCCCGTCCATGGGCCGCATCGCGAGCGCTACTTCCTAGTGCTTGTCGACGACTACACCCGCTACACCACCGTCTTTCCCCTGGAGCGGAAGGCCGACGTGCCTGACTTCTCCCGTGGCTTGTCTCTGCGCGTGTTCACCGAGGTCTCCTGTCTTGCGTCTTCACTCCGACCTGGTGGCGAGTTTGCCTCTGGCTGCCTTGGTCGCTTCTGTGTGCGGAGGGCATCACCCAGACGTTCCTGCCGGACTCCCCGCAGCAGAATGGGGTCGCTGAGCGACGCATCGGTTTGGTCATGGAGGTGGCTCGTACCTCCATGATCCATGCCGGTGCACCCCATTTTCTGTGGCCGTTCGCCGTTCGCTACGCTCACCAGCTTAACCTCTGGCCGCACCCTCAGCGGTCGCATTTCGCCGACCCTCCTCTGGACCGGGTCCCCTGGTGACTCTCGTTCCACGTCTGGGGCTGCCTTGCACACGTTCGTGCCTCTGGCACGGACAAGCTCACTGCCCGCACTGTCCCCTGTGTCTTCCTAGGTTTCCCCCTGACTCGTCGGACTGGCAGTTCTACCACCCGCCTTCTCACCGGTTCTTTCACTCTCGTGACGTCACTTTTGACGAGTCCGTCTCCTTCTACCACCGCTTTCCCCACCGTGGTCCCCCGGTCACCCCCCCAGTTCCTGGTGCCCCCCCTCCCCGGTCGACCCTGTCCACCCCCCTCCCCGCCCTGCCCCGTCTGGTGTGTCTCACGTCACCCCCCTCCGTCGGTTGTCCCTGCTGAGGAGTCCGCTGACTCTCGGGCTCGGCGGAGTCTCTTCCCCGCCTGTCCCTGCCCGGTCTGCCTCCCCTGTGCCGCCGTGCTGTCCCCGCCGCTCCGCCTCGCCACTGCCGCCGCAGCCGCGTGCTGTCGTCACCGCCGCTGGGGTTCGTGCTTCTGGGGTGCTGGGGAGCGGCTGGAGCTGGTTCTGGAGGCTCTGGGGGTGCTGGCGTGGGGCTTCTCGGAGGGAGCCGTGTTGTCGCTGGAGGTTCTGGTGTTGGAGTCGGGAGCAGTCGCAGCTGTCGCCGCCGGTGTCCGCTCTTCGCCTCGGTCTCCCTTCCCCTGACGCTCGCTGCCTCCCCCGCTGCCGCCGCCTCCTCTCAGTCCACGGCCCCTGTTTCCTCCCCGGACTCCTCTCCGGCTCGTTTCCCTCCCGTTTCCTCCTGTGTCTCCTCCCCTCTCTCCTGACCCGACTCCTCCATCTCACGTCTGGTCTCGTCGTCCGTCTCGTGCTCGTCCTACCTCCCCTGTTCCGCGTTCTCACCCTATGTTGCTGCGCTCTCACGCGTCTCGTGCTCCTCCTCTCCTCCGTCTCCTCCTCCGTCGTCGCTTGCTGTGGCCCCGCCTCCGTTCTCGGACTTCCTCCGTGCTGCACGTCCCCTTGTTCCTGTGTCCTTGCCTCTCTCGTTACCGACCCGTCCGTTCCTGTCTCGAGTCTGTCGGCTCTTGTCTGCTGCTGTCACTGACTTCGCCGCTACCCGCTGCCGACTGACTCGCCACCGCTCTGGTCTCTGACCCTGCCTGCCCTCCGACCGTCGGGGTGTGGCTGCTCTTGGCAGTGACGTCCTAGAGGACAGGCAGTTCGAGCTCGCTTTCCTGTCTGAGGCCGCTCCCCATCTCTGTTCCATGCTACTAGTCCCTGAGGGTGACCCAGACGCCCTCGACATCCCGACCCCTCGCACCTACGCTGAGGCCACCTCGGGACCCTGGGCCTCTCAGTGGATAGCTGCCATGGAGCAGGAGATGGCATCTTGGAGATCCACCGGTACCTTCGTCGACGCAGTTCCCCCACCTGGGGTGAACGTAGTCGATGGCCGGTGGCTCTTCAAGGTGAAGCGCCCTCCTGGAGAGCCGCCTGTCTTCAAGGCGCGCTACGTCGCTCGAGGCTTCAGTCAGCGTGAGGGGGTGGACTTCTTTCAGACCTTCGCCCCGACCCGAAGATGACCACTCTTCGGGCGCTGCTACACGTAGCAGCACAGCGTGACTACGAGCTGCACTCCCTCGACTTCTCCACAGCTTTCCTCCAGGGCAGTCTACACGAGCAGGTCTACCTGCGCCGCCCCCAGGGCTTCTCCGGTACCTTCCCCCCTGGCACCGAGTGGCTCCTCCGGCGCCCCGTCTACGGCTTGCGACAGGCCCCGTGAGTGGCACGACACGCTGCGTGCTACACTTGCTGACTTGCAGTTCTTCCCTTCGTCTGCAGACCCCTCGCTCTTTGTCCGTTCCGGCCAGACTCCGTTCTACATCCTTGTCTACGTAGACGATCTGGTCTTTGCTACTGCAGACAGAGACGCACTGGCCGCCGTGAAGGCCGAGCTGCTGAGGAGACACACCTGCACTGACCTAGGAGAGCTGCCGCTACCTTGGCTTGCAGATCTCCAGGGACAGAGCAGCGCGCACCATCACTCTCTCACAGTCACACTTGGTGCGCCAGGTCCTTCAGAGGTTCGGCCTTCAGTTCTCTTCCGCACAGCCCACCCCTCTGTCAGTAGACCACAGACTCTCTGCCCCAGTCCCTGAGGAGGCTGTAGAGCCTAGTGGTCCCTACGCAGAGCTGGTGGGTTGCCTCATGTACCTGATGACTTGCACTCGTCCAGATCTCGCATACCCTCTCAGCATCCTGGCTCGCTTTGTGGCCCCAGGCAGACACCGACCACAGCACTGGTCGGCAGCTAAGAGGGTTTTGCGTTATCTAGCAAGTACATCGGGCATGGGGCTAGTGCTAGGAGGACGGAGACCAGTGGTCCTTACCGGGCACACAGACGCTTCTTGGGCAGACGACCGAGACTCTCAGGTCCTCACAGGGCACTCCTTTAGCCTTGGTGCAGGTGCCATCTCGTGGAGGTCCACCCGTTCCTTCTTTTGCCCAGTCTAGCTGTGAGGCTGAGATCTACACAGGTGCCATGGCGGCACAGGAGCTCGCTGGCTGACCTTCTTGCTCACCGACTTGGTGATTGGCCTAGCTCTGCCCCGGTTCTGTATGCTGACAACAGGGCCAGATCCTCCTGTGTCAGGAGCCACGACTTGAGGGCAGAGAGCACATCCAGCTGCGGTACTTCCTCCTGCGGAGCTGCAGCAGCGTCGCCAGGCTCGTGTAGTACACTTGGCCTCAGGTGCCAACACAGCTGATATTTTACTAAGGCGCTTGCGCCTAAAGATCATTAGCGGCACTGTGTACAGCTAGGTCTTGTTCCTTAGCCTCTCACTTGCTAGGACCTTGATTGTGTACAGACCTTTATATATATTACCTTGACTGGCCTTGTGGCCTCTTCCCAGTGGTTGGACTAGTAGTGTCACCCTGGTCTTGCTCTTGCGTAGTCTGTACTTGTTTGACTGGTCTTTAGACCCTGCCTCAGAGGCTGGACTAGTAGTGCCACCCTGAGCATTTCTCTTTCATTGGGCACTGCCCCTATCCAGTCTAGGGGGTGTGTCAAACATATATTGTATGTTTTTGTAGACTATATAGGGTTGTGCCTTAGGGAGTACAACCCATTAGGTGATATTCCCTTGTATGCCTTGTTCTAGTAATTCTTTCACTTGAACAGACGGCACTCCGCAGTGGGGTTACGAAAGGGCAACGGTCGCAGAATATTGACCGTACAAACAACCCAACAGTCAGAATCGGAAGAGTCAAAGGTCAGAACGACAGCAAGGACAAATATCCGTCCCGACTGATATTACAGTACGGGTGGTTACCTGAGTCGCCTTATCGAGTCGTAAATGGGAATGCACCCCTAGAAAGTTAGACTCTTCATATTCTCTTGTACTATTATAAACCTTGTATCCCTTTGCTATAATCAATCGCTCATTCTCACATTACCAGTACAAGGGTTCAACTCAAGACTTCCACTGTGCTATCACGCACTCTGTTACAAGGGCTTAGCATTCTGAAAAGATCCTAGGGCTATTCTCAGCCCAACACCACGCAAGGGTTAACAATATTCGTGATTGTTACGAGGTAGTTTACTATTCACTGTGTCAAACATATTTGTTTATGTCTTATAGGCTAGATAGGTGAGTAAGCTTAGATGGTACAAACACTTAGACAAAACCAACCTGCTTGCATCTTTCTAGTCATTCATTCTCATTCTGACATGGTATCACGCTAGGTTAGGTCCCCCCCGTCCACCCGTGCTTCCGCCGTAGGCCTAGTCCTAGCCGCCCCGTTAGCGCCACGCTGGCCCCTTAGCGCCCCGCTGGCCCCGTACGCCCCGCTGGCCCCGTTAGCGCCCTGCTAGCTCCGTTCGCGCCCCGCTAGCCCCGTCGAGCCCCGCTAGCCCCGTGTGCCCCGCTGGCCCCGTGCACCCCGCCGGCCCCGTACGCCTCGCTGGCCCCGTACACCCCGCTGGCCCCGTTCGCCCCGCTGGCTCCGTTAGCACCCTGCTGGCCCTGTGCGCCTCGCTGGCCCTGTACGCCCCACTGGCCCCTTAACGCCCCGCTAGCTCCGTTCGCGCCCCGCTAACCCCATCGAGCCCTGCTAGCCCCGTGCACCTCACCGGCCCCGTACGCCTCGCTGGCCCCGTTAACCCCGCTGGCCCCGTTAGCGTCCCGCTGACCCCGTCGAGCCCCGCTAGCCCCGTGTGCCCCGCTGGCCCCGTTCGCCCCGCTGGCCCCGTTAGCGCCCTACTGGCCCCGTCGGGCCCCGCTAGCCCCGTGCGCCCCGCCGGCCCTCTTCGCGCCCCGCTGGCCCCGTTCGCGCCCTGCTAGCCCCGTCGCGCCCCTTTAGCCCCTGCGCCACACTGGCCCCGTACGCGCCACTGGCCCCGTGCGCCCTGCTAGCCCCGTGCGCCCCGCTGGTCTAGTGCGCCCTGCTAGCCCTGTGCGCCCCGCCGCCCCCCAGCTAGCCGGCCCCTCCCCGTCAGCCCCCAGCGCCACCGTCCCTACTCCGCCGGCCAAAGCCCACACCGGCCTTGCGCCGTCCAGCCACCGCGCCGCAGTGCCACCGAGCTGCCGTGTAGCTATGCCGCCGTGTCGCTGCACCGCCGCGACGCTTTGCCGCCCCCGACCTACTGGCCTTTTTGTCCTTTCTGCGCCGGCACATCTGCCGGCTGTCTCCACAAACTCTCCACCGCACTCCACCACACTCCACCGCACTCCACCGTACTCCACCGCACTGCACCACTCTCCACTACTCTCCATCACTCTCGGCCGCCTTCCTTCGCCTTTCCTCCTCTCTCTGTCAGCGGCACTCAGCTGCAGCAGCCGTGATGATGGCGGACTCACTGCTCCGCCTAGACCCAGAGGGTCGGGCGATTGACTTTGAGGCATGGCTTGTCGACCTCCGCCGTCACCTTACAGGTCAGCGCCAGGACGGTCACTCCCTGGCTGTTCATGTCGATGGCCTGCTTCCCCGCCCCAGTGCACCAGTTGCCGTCCCTGCCGCTCCCACCATTGCTGAGCATGAGGCCTTTTCCACTGTTGCGCTTGCTCGTGCTGTCTGGGACTTGCGGGACTCCGTCGCGCAGCTTGCTATTAGTTAAGCGCTTCCTCTGTCTGAGCGTCCCCGCTTTACCACTGTAGCGAACGTCCAGACATTCTTAGATGCAGTCATTGCGCACTATTCCACCCCCGCCTCCGCCTCTGCTGGCCGCCTAATCCTCCCCATGCTGTTCCACAATCTTGCGTCCTTCCCCACTGTCGCCGACCTTGCCACTCACTTTCGCTCGCTTGAGACTAGCTACCGCTTTGCTAGCACTGAGGCTCAGCTCACTGCCTTTCTGCCGCCGCTCTGCGCTACCCTTTACCTCCTTGCCACGCGCCTCCCCGACCGCCTAGCCACAGCTCGCGACCATTTCCTTAGCCCGTGACCTCACCCTCCCCGCCTTTGTCACCGCCCTGTCTGCGATAGAGACCCGCCAGCGCACTATCGCTTAGTCTAGCGGTACTGCGCCGGTCCCTATCCTTCAGGGCTGTTCTCCCTCTCAGTGCTCTTACTCTGACGTCTCAGCTGCTGTTGCTGAAACCGCCGCTGCGGCCTCAGTGCAGCCACGTCCGGGTAAGGGCCGCCGCCCCAAGGGGGGCGTGGCGGAGGTGGGGCGGGGACAGTGGTTCTGACAAGGGGACAGGGGCTGGTGCCCCGGAGCAGCAGCAGCAGCACCAACAGACTCCGCAGCAGCAGCAGCAGCCGAAGCAGCAGTCACCGTGGGGACCCCCGCCACCGTGGTGGACTCGCGACACTAGTGGTGGTGGTCGTATTGGTGGCTGGTGCAGCTCGGGGTCGGGTGGCGGCTCCATTGCGGTCACCTGCCAGTACCAGCTTCAGACCGGCCCCTGCCGCGGCACCGTCTGGGACCGTCCCGGCCACACCGCCCTCCAGTGCTACCACCGCCTGGACGACTTTTTCCGTCACCGCTTCAGTCCCATGTCGGACCCTCCTGACTGGTACGCCCTGGCTCGCCGCCGTGTGCCTGTCTTTGAGCTTGACATGGATCAGATTAGGACTGCTATATCTGTCATATATGCTGATGATAGTAGTGTGATTGGACCCAGCTGTAGTTTGGTGCCGAATTGGTCCCACAGGTGGTGCCAGAAATTCGATGTGAATTTCGGGTCTCGGTCTGAAATAATGGCGGTAGGCAGTCCGTGCAGTCGAATGACGTTGGCGATGAACAGTTGAGCAGTTTGCTCAGCTGTAATTTTCTGTTGGCAGGCAATGAAGTGCGCCATTTTCGTGAGTCGGTCAACGACCACGAGGATGGCGTTGTTTCTGCTGGGACCAGCCGGCAGTCCTGACATGTAGTCCATCGTGAAGTGTTGCCAGGGTCGCTCGGGCGGATCCAACGGCTGTAGTAGTCCGGCTGCTCGCTGATGGGATTATTTCATGATCTGGCAGGCGGTGCAGGAGGACACGTACTTGCGCACGTCGTCGGCCATGTTCGGCCAATTATAATTGCGTTACAACGTCTTCATGGTTTTGTCGAATCCAAAATGCCCGGAGGTAGGGTTGTCATGGGATTCCTGTATTAGAAGGGTACGAAGTAAATCGTAGCCGGGCACCTAGATGCGGAAAGTGTCGCGCTTATTAAAATAGTGTCCGGTGGCGGTGGTATGCTGTTGATGAATAGCAGAGCGGAAGAAGGGGTCGATTTTGTAGCCGTTGGTAAATAGTCCGGTAAACAGTGGGCTGGTCTGGGCGACTAGTATGGCGGCTGTATGGGCAGTGGGTCGAGTCAGGGCATCAGTGATATTGTTGGCGCCCCGTTTGTGGGTGATGGTGTAGTGGAAATTCAACTCGAGGAAATCGAGCCATCGGATCTGTCGCGGGTTGAGATTCGTTTGGGCTCGCAGGTACTGGAGGGATTTGTGGTCGGTCCGCACAATGACGTCAGCGCCTGTCAGGTAGCACCGCCAGGTCTTGAACGCGTGGACGATCGCCAGCATTTCCTTGTCGTGTACCGTATAATTTTTTTCCGCGCCCTGCAGTGATTCGTAGGCGACCGGCTGTAATCCGTCGCCGAAATCCGGTAGGAGAACTGCACCGATGGCGATGTCGCTGGCGTCAGTGATGACTTCGTATGGACGGTCAGGATCGGAGATGCGAAGGACGAGCGGCGATGTGAGGGCGATCTTCAGTTGGTCGAATGCAATTTGCTGCTTCTCTCCCCACCAAAAACAATCATGATCCTTGAGTCGGTCAGTTAGCGGGGCAGATAACCCAGCCATGTTGGGTATAAACCGGCGAACGTAATTGACAAAACCCAAAAAACTCTGCAGCTCCTTGATGTTGCTTGGCGGCTTCCACTCCTGTATGGTCTTGATTTTCTTGGGGTTGATTTTCACTCCTTCAGTAGAAACGATGTGGCCCAAAAACTCCAGCTCCTACTTAAGAAAGTCGCACTTAGACCCTTTTGTGATGAGGCGATTCTTGTGCAGCAGTGTGAAGACTGCATCAAGATCCTGTAAGTGCTGCTCCCTGCTGCAGCTGTAGATTAGTATGTCGTCGAGGTAGATAATGACGCATTTGTCCAAGAGTTCCCTGAAAATTCCGTTCATGGTCATATGGAAAGTCGAGGGCGCGTTCGTGAGGCCAAAAGGCATCAACAAGTACTCGTAGCTGCCGTAGTGGGTTCGAAATGCCGTCTTGTGAAAATCCTTGGCTGCGACGCGAATCTGATGGTAACCCCCTCGCAAGTCGATTTTTTAGAAGAACTTGGCGCCGCGAAGTTGGTCGAGGAGTTCGTCAGCTCTCGGGATCGAGTAACGCGACTTGATGGTGATTTGGTTGAGCGCGCGGTAGTTGATGTACATTCTGAATCCTCCATCCTTCTTTGGCGTGAACAGTATCGCGGCGATGTATGGGGACGTGCTGGGCTGGATAAATCCCTTCGTCTGAAGGTTTTCCAGCTGCTGCTGCAATTCTTCCAGTTCTGGTTGGCTGAGCCGAAATTGTCACTGTACCGTCGGTTGGGCGCCTGGTTCCAGCTTAATGCGATGGTCTTCTGGCTCGACTAAGTCGGTTGTCGACTCGACGGAAGTCCAGCTGGCAGGTTGTCCGGGAAAATCTCAGGGTATTTCCGAATCAGGTCCGCTAAATCCGGAGGAATGGCTTCGCACAGCTTCGCGATATCTTCGGCTATTGTCGTCGACATCACCTCGCGAAGATCAACGGCGAATGCTGCAGCTCCCGCTTTTATCGCGCGTTTGAAAGTGAAAACACTGACTTGGGTGCTTTGCATGTAGCGCTTGCTGACCCCTCCTCAGGTCTGGTAGTAGCCTGTAGCTCCACTACCCTCCCCTGTCCGACGGTTCCCTCGGGCTCTCTTACATGCCTGCACATCCCCTCGTTCTCTAGGAACCTAGTCGGTGTCGGCGGTCTTCAGGACCTTAACATCACCACTACGTTCCTTTGACACGAGCGGTACGCAGTCTGTACCGAGGCCGCCACTGGTTCCCCTCTGACTACATTCCCCCGGGACCTTGTATCAGGCCTGTTTACGCTTGACACTACGTCCCCGCGGTGAGGACGTCCCCCCAGGTGCCTGCGGCGACCCAGGCTGCCGCGGCTTCCTCGTGTCGGTCGCTCACTCACCTTTCACTACTGTGGCACCACCGCCTAGGTCACCCCCACTCTCGCAACTACGTCACATGTCCCATCACGGTCTTGTCTTCGGTCTCCCTGCGTCGCTCCCTTCCCTTCCCCCCTTGTCTGCGCCGATGTGTACACCTTAAGACGAGGGTCGGCTGCACCGTGCTCCTCACTCCACCTCGTTCACCCCTACCACTGTGCAACTCCAAACCCTGCACTTGGACGTTTGGGCCCAGCCCCCGTCCTTGGGCCCCATTGAGAGCACTACTTTCCAGTGCTTGTCGACGATTACACGCGCTACACCACGGTGTTTCCCCTGGAGCGGAAGACTAACGGACCTGACGTTCTTATCTCGTGGGTCGTAGCTGCGCGAATCCACCACGGCCTCCCACTGCTTCGTCTCCACTCCAACCGTGGCGGCGGGTTTGCCTCTGGTCGGCTTGGCCATTTTTGTCGTGCGGAGGGTATCACCCAGTCGCACACCCTGCCAAACTCCCCGCAGCAGAATGGGGTCACTGAGCGACGCATCGGTTTGGTCATAAAGGACGCTCGTACCTCGATGATCGATCCGGTGCACCCCATTTTCAGTTTACGTTCGCTGTTCGCTACGCCACTCACCTGCTTAACCTGTGGCCGCACTCCCAGTGGCCGCAGGTTTCGCCGACCCTCCTCTGGACCAGGTTCCCTGGTGATGCGACTGCGTTCCACGTCTGGGGCTACCTTGCTCACGTTCGTGCCTCTGGCACAAACAAGCTCACTACCCGCACTGTCCCCTGTGTCTTCCTTGGTTTCCCCCTTGACGCGTCTCACTGGTACTTTTACCACCCTCCTTCTCACTGCTTCCTTCACTTGCGTGATGTCACTTCTGACGATTCTGTCTCCTTTTACCACCGCTTTCCCCACCGAGGTCTCCCAGTTTCCCCGCCCCTGTTTCTGGTTCTCACTCCCCGGTAGCCCTTGCTCCTCTCCCTCCCCGTTCTGCCCCGTCTGGTGTGTCTCACGTCACTCCCCTCCCGTCGCTTGTCCCGGTTGAGGAATCGCTGATACCGGGGACCCCACGGCTTTGGTTTTGCTGCCTGTCTCTACCCCGGTGTCCCTTCCTCCGACGCCGCCGCCGCCGCAGCAGCAGCAAAAGTCACCGCCGTCGCAGCCGCAGCCACAGCAGCTGCCGGGTTCCGCGAGTTTTGGGGGTGCGAGTGTTGGGGAGGGTGCTAGTCCTAGGGTGACTCTCGTGGCTTGTCCCGGCAGTCTCGAGGGTGGCACAAGTGCTGGAGAGGGTTCTCGTTCTGGGGATGTTGGCGTGGAGTGTCTTGGAGGTAGCCATGGTGCAGCTCGTGGTTCTGGTGTTGGCGTTGAGCAACAACAGCAGAAGCCACAGTCACCGCCGGTGTCCGCCCTTCGCCTCCTCGGCCTTCCCTCCCCTTTCCACCCGCCATCGCCTCCCCTGCCTGTCCACGGCTATGTCTTTCCTCCGCCGGACTCGTCTCCGGCTCGTCTCCCCCCTTGTTCTCCTCCTGTGACTCCTCCCTTATCTCCTAACCCTACGCCTCCGTCTCACGTATGGTCTTGCCATCCCTCCCGTGCTCGTCCTGTCTCCCCTGCTCAGCGCTCCCACCCTATGTTGCTTTGTTCCCACGTGTCTCGTCCTCCCCTCCTCCCGTCGCCTCCTCCGTCCTCGCTCGCTGTCACTCCGCCTCCTCTGTCTAACTACCTACGTGCTGCTAGTCCTCCTGTTTCTTGGGTCCATGCTTCCCTCGTTACCGACCCGTCCGAACCTGTCTCCAGTCTTGAAGCGCTTGTCGCTGCTGACGCTGATTTCGCCTCTACACGCTGCCTAGACTACGCCACCACTCTGGTCTCTGACCTTGCGTGTCCTCCGTCCGTCAGGGGTGCTCCTGCCCTTGGCAGTGACGTCCTAGAGGACTGGCAGTACCAGCTCGCTTTCCTGTCCGAGGCTACGCCTCATCTCTGCTCCATGCCGCTAGTCCCTGAGGGTGACCTAGACTCCTTTGACATCCCGACCCCTCGCACTTACACTGAGGCGACCTCGGGGCTCTGGGCCTCTCAGTGGATAGCTGCCATGGACGCAGAGATGGCATCTTGGAGATCCACCGGCACCTACGTCGACGCACTTCCCCCACCTGAGTTGAACGTAGTTGATGGCTGGTGACTCTTCACGGTGAAGCGGCCTCCTGGAGAGCCGTTGGTGTTCAAGGCGTGCTATGTAGCTAGAGGCTTCAGTCAGGGCGAGGGTGTTGACTTCTTTCATACCTTCATCCCGACCCCGAAGATCACCACTCTTCAGGCACTTCTACAGGTAGCAGCAGAGCGTAACTATGAACTGCACTCTCTCGACTTCTCGACAACACGAGCAGGTCTACTTGCGTCGCCTTCCAGTCTTCACCGGCACCTTCGCCCTGGGGACTCAGTGACTCCTCCAGTACCTGGTTTACGGCCCGCGGAAGGTGCCGCGCGAATGGCACACCTGCTCCATGCTACGCTAGTTGACTTGCAGTTCTTCCCGTCGTTTGCAGACCCTTCGCTCTTCGTTCGTGCTGGCCAGACCCCATTCTACATCCTTGTCTACGTAGATGACCTGGTATTTGCTACAGCAGACAGAAACGCACTGCCCTCCGTAAAGGCTCAGCTGCTGAGGAGACACACCTGCACTGATCTAGGAGAGCTGCACCGCTACCTTGGCCTGCTGATCTCCAGGGATAGAGTAGCGCGCACCATCACTCTCACATAGTCACACTTGGTGCGCCAGGTCCTTCAGAGGTTCTGCCTTCAAATCTCCTCTACACAGCCCACACCTCTGCCGGTAGATCACAGGCTCTCGACTCCAGTCTCTGAGGAGCCTGTTGAGCCTAGTGGTCCTTACCAGAGCTGGTGGGTTGCCTAATGTACCTCATGACTTGCACTCGTCCAGATCTCGCATACCCTCTCAGCATCCTGGCCCGCTTTGTGGCCACAG